TTCCCAAATTTCGGTGAACTGCAACCTGTGGAGAGACTTTCATCAGTTAGTACAAAGAAAAGGGCAAAGTTACGGACAAAATTGAACTTATGCACTAACTGAATATACGTTCATATTTACCAAAGATTTGTTTGATATGATCCAAATAGGTCATCGTTTCAGCTGAAGCGTGAACGGGTTAGGAAGAACTTGCTGTCCATTTCTTTTGCGAAACATCGTTCGTGGGTCGGACCCACATATTGGGAACCACTGGTGCTAGACATTACTAAAATATAAACATTATTCATGTAAAAACTTGCAAGTGGCGCACCAATAACATGCGGCGTAGTCACAATCACAGCGTCTAAAAGACGTTATTGCGGAGCTGGAACTCGATGTGGCTGCAGAATTCATCGCTGAAGTGATGAGTTAGTTGCAAACTGTCTAGTTTGAGCCTCACCATGTTGAGCACGATCCAAACCGACAAAATTCTGTTCGCAATATGAACCTCCTGAATTTTCGGATTGTTTCAAAAAGGCGCGATTTTCAAATGTTGCGGCAGCAAATGCTATCAATCCCACCTTTCCACTTCCAGACAGAGAGGAAAGAAGCCAAGCTGTTCGCTAGACGGGTGCTAATCTTCGTTTCGCGAAACAGCTCACCTGAATAAATACCGTTTGACCAGGTTCGGCTTACCGCAAATGGAGACAACTGACACTAGAAAGTGCAGCAGCCCACAGGTTGCTACCGAAGCCTGAGCGGCGAAGTGCTTACATAGTGCAAGAGAATTTAAGCGATACGAAACCCATGCAAACACTACAGGCCTCAACCATAAGGAACAGCACCGAGCGAAACTCTGTGCAGATCGGATGCTATCACACAAAACAGCTACAGTTTCAGCTCTTTCGTCAGAACTTAACAACACGTTAAAGCTTTATACATCTCTCACTCCTTCCAAACAGTAATCAGGGTTCCACGACAATTACTACAATAAACACATCATCACCACATATACTATCACATTTCATTATATATTATCACATTATCATAAAGCTGTTGGCTGATTTTTGCAGTTTTCATGCCACATTCCCGTTCATTCATGTTATGTTGTATTCGTGCTCGCATCGTCCATTATTCAACTCGTAATTACTGATTAATAACGAATGCCCCTGAAAATTTACTCTGCAGTTCCGACTGAATATTTTCTAAAACATCTACGTTATGCAAACTAAGCTATAATGAACTATCTATCTCACACTGAACCTCGCCAAATCCGCTAATAAATCTCGACCATTTGATGTGAGAAGTTTCAAAATTGGAACTCAAACCCTGACCTATATTCGAAAATGCAAGCTACCACCACTACGCTACGACACATTTGTCATAACCACGTGTTATGTAACAGACAACATTGGATTCTAAAAAAACTACCAGCTTTTCATTCCTCTTCTCCTTTCTCTAATTTCCGCAATAGTAAGAAAGATGAGATATTATTATTTCCTAGATTACATGTAAGTCTCCAAAAACGAAAAGCTGGACCAGAAATAAAATTCAAAAACAAAATGTGACACTTTGTAAAAGTTTCAAAAGAAAGGTTCGAGCCCTCACTTACCATGCGGAAATGCGGTAATACCTCCACTACGCTACGATCCATCTGCCACAGCCCGATTTTGCTGATTAGCGGTTCAGCGATAGCCTTTCGCTATTTTTTGGCGATAATAGCGATAGCGATTTTTTAAGCGGAATTAACAGTTTTTAGTTCAGCGGATCAGCGATAGGGAGCTGTCGTTTTTCGATAGCATGCCCATTTGTGCTTTTAGGGACACTTCAAAAGCGTTCAGTGGCATGTAATTCTTTTAAAAAATGATTCAGTCATTTGTGTGTACGTGAAATAAGCAATGTTACAATCGATGCAGCAGAAATAGAAAACCATTTTATTACACTATCAAATCAGAATCACGTTAATATATACAACAAAAGAGAATAGAATTGGACACGACATCTACAAAAAGTGAATGTGGATATTACTCTTTTGCTCACTTATTTACGACAGCATTGATTCAACTGATTATTATTTGAGCAAATGATATAATTTTTGGGACAAACACATTGGATGTGAGTTTTGGATGGGATACATTGTGTTAAACGTGGCTGGTTTGGGATTTCGTAAGGAACGAACTCGGGGATTGGACTAAGAGGACGGATTAAGCCTGACTGCCTATTCGGCATGAAATTGGGCTCAGCAGTGCTAGACTGAATTCGGATAACATCTGATTCTATAACCACACCTGGTTCTCCTTGAATCGGAACAGTTCTCTGCGGAATAACCAGGCCAAATCCACCCTGAATTGGCACAGGTCTCTGTGGAATAACCGAACCTGGTCCGCTTTGAAATGGGAAACTTTCCTGTGAAACAACCGGACCTAGTCCACCTTGAGTTGAGATTGCTCCTTGAGGAATAACTGGACCCGGTTCACCCATAATGATTGTTCCAGGGCGCTGGTTGATTACAGGCACGATCGGTGAACTGGCAATGCATTGTGGTGTGCACGATGGCATGCACACTTCAGTACAAATACTATTCCTCATATTGTTTGATCCACCTATCATTTCGTCTTGAGGATAGCGTTGAATTGATGGAACATTCCTATTTCCGCTTATTCGCAAGTTCGGATTGTACGGTTTCCCTGGCATCAGATATATCGGTCCATTTCCTCCACTGATCGGTCCGTATGTTGATGACGGCGATGGTGGAAAGGATGGTGTTAAAGCTGGACCTGGCCCACCTAAGGGTAAGAACGCTCGTGGAGGATTGAACGAACCAGATACGGTCTGCACACCTGTTGACTGTCCACTGTAAACAAACATGCTCATTTCAATATCAACAACACTTGTTTGATATAACCGATGCAAACGGATGTGTAAATGACAAGCGAAACAAACCATGACTGCTGACAGCTTTGGTGACATTGCTGGATCTCACTTTGCAAACAGTTTTGTGTACACTGGTTCATGCATGGCGTTGGTTGCTGCTAAAATGGTCAAAATTGGCTAAACCGTTCATATCTTCAAAATCAAATGCCATCTCCAATAAAGACATCCGACTTCAGTTGGAAATCATGCGCAGAAATAAGTTTATAACATCTCGAAGGACATAAATGATATCATAAAAGGTACTGAGCAATAACCTGTGCAAGTGAAGCACAATATAAAGTGATGAGAACGTATTCGAAAGTGAACCAGTGATTCATATTGATGGCTGCGATGAAATGTGATGTGTTCGAGTTAGAATGGACACTGCTTTTATAGGCCGATGGCTCAACTGGTTCGATACTTTTTTGCACTCAGTGGACAGACAAATGAACGGTTTAGCACTCGACAAAACTCGAATTTCGATTTGTTCACTTGTTTCTTTGGCTATACAAAAATGGCTACCGATATTAAGATTAAAACAAGCGTTTGCTCTCCTCTACTTGTTCATCTAGTGAATGTCAAGCTATTCGCTTGATTTCTGCTTCAATTCTCGTCGTAAGCTCATGTCAGATTTTTATAACATAGCTGAGCGGTATACTTATGTATTCGTCGAATTAGTGCTGAGCAACGTTTTGACTGTTTGTTCAGGAGCGGCGCTCAACAACGGGTACGTCAGTTCAGTTGAAAACTGTTGTAGTGTTGTGCTATAACAGCTCGAGAGTGCACAGGTATCACTGACGACTGTAATCAGGCGTCATATGCATGAAAATTTTCGGTTGAATTTGAAGATTTTGCGCTTCTGAAAGCCTCACAACAATAGTAAAATAATAAGTAGTAAGTCAGCAACGATGACAGTAATAATATTCATGTTCCTTGTTCCTTGTCAACAATAATCAGTTGGTTACTTTAGTGAATTATGTTCATTGAACGGCAACGCAACCAGATTGATAACAGAATATTTGTTGACAACCAAATCGAATGGAACTGATTCACTGATTCGTTAGCATATCAGTTCAGTACGGATATGTGGATTAGACATCTAATTGTATGGAGCCAAGAGTTATGTACGGAGCGAAGCCATCGATATAACGGATTACTTCATCTAGATAATAGTAATCTGCCGGCTATGACGAATAAATCATGCTCTTTGAGATCTACTCTCACGTTCCTTTTTCTCACAGCTTGATTTATTTTGCAGTCATGCATTAAATCAATTCACCTATTGGTACAAAAATAACTTCGTCAACGTAACTTTTCAAATTGCTCTCTCGAATAATGCTGCGTCTTTTTGGGTCGGTGGTCACCGAACCGCGAAGGCGCTCGAAGAAACATTTTCGGTGGCTCCCGACCGCAACCGAATGAAGCTTACTTTGGGTGGTGAACAAATCGCTCGTTCATAAATGCTCATCACAAGATGAACACGGTTAGTCCTTGTTATATGCTCTGTGGATACTTTAGTCCTATTTTGCTGCTTTTTCGAATGAGATTTTTCAACGATGTTGAAAAATCTCATTCGGGAAAGCAGCAAAATTGGACTAAAGATTAATGTCACCAAAACAAAGATCATGACAAACCGTTTAATAAAATCACCGCTCATTATTGACGGAAATGTCGTTGAAGAAATCAACGAATTCGTATACCTCAGCCAGCTCATATCGATGAAAAGAAAGGGGGAAGCCGAAGTGAGAAGAAGGATAAAAATCGGATAGAAATCGTTTTACAAATATTAAGAATTTTTCACTGATAGGAGGATCGAAATGGCTTTGAAACGACGACGTCTGTTCTTTCCGCGATAGGGATCAGAAACATGGACGGTGACAAAAAGAATGAAAAATATGATGGGAGTAGCCCAAAAAGGATGGAGAGGTTGATGGTAGGGGTGAAACTACGGGATAGGAAATCGAATGAATGGTTGAGAGGGGTGACGAAAGTTAAAGACTTTGTAAAATGTGCAAGGGAAAGGAAAATTAAATGGGCAAGAAAAATTGCAATAATGGACAATAACAACTGGGCGAAAAGGTGCATAGAGTGGCAACCTAGAATCATTAAAAGAAGTCGGGGTCGACCGAAAATGAGATGGCGAGACAACATTTGCAAAATACCCGGATGAAAAGAACAGTGAACTGTGATAATAATGATAAGTGGAGTGATTTTGAAGAGGCTTATGTACAAAACGTACTATAATAGTTGAGGAAATAAAAAGAAAGTTTCTAAGAGTTATGTGAGTCGTGTGTATTATGTGAGTTGTGTTGTCGAGCGATTTCGTTTGCTACAAGTAATATCAACAATTTTCCGAAACCATCTCACGTGGCCGAGTGGCTCATTCTAATACATTGTATCTGCATTGATCAACGTTCACAAGAAACTAGTAATATCAGGATCATCATATTTAAGCTAACAGTAAATACTGTCCAGCACGGATTCATTTCAATTT